TTGAGTCATACATACCAATCAATTAGCAAAGGCCACTTGTGCAGAAATAGTTCTTCATGTTACTGGAAGGCAACGCTGTACTGGCTTATATTTGTGATGCAATGAACACTGGGTAGTGCACTGAGTGGGAGGCAGGCAAACCAGGAGTCAGTGGGAGAAAGCAGACGGGATGTGCCAAGAAGGCTGCCTCTGCTACATTCATCCAACAGTGATCCCAAACTTACAGCTTTAACTTTGGCTGCTACTATAGTGATAACGGGCTAAATCATAAACACCTGCAATCTCCTGACACTGCTACTGAACTAGCTGTACAGGGTTTCTTTTTTATTTTACCTGAGAAGCCAGATCTGTGATACTTAAGTCTCATGAGCTGACCACCTGTGGCTAAACAGAGGGAGAGCCCCTTTAATGAGACTGTGGTTGGACAAAGGAGACGAAGGGGATTCGGTGCAGTACAGGGGTTCTGTATTTCTCACAGGGAGCTTGGAATCTTGGCCACAACAAAGTGTGAAATTCTGTGGTATTGTTAGGTTGAACTAGGCTAGACTTTCCTCTGCCTCCATTCAGACCTGCAGAACTCCACCAATAATGCACAGCTCCACACCATTCCCAAATGTGTGTTGGCTGCATCAAACTACACAAACTGCAGTTAGTTAAAAATATTACAGAAAAAACTCATATATAGCCAAACATGTATGGCATGAAGCTGCTAAGTTAAAATGCGTACGACTTCAGTTTTCAGTCCGGGTGGCAATAGCCAGTATTTGGTGAGCAGCTGCTCCGTTAGAAACACAACAAGAGAGCAACTCGCGTATCTGTTCGCAACCAAACAAATGCAGAGACAGGCTCTTTAAATCCAGGGAAGGAATGGCAGGCTCTGCCACTAACAATGAAAACTGCAGTCCAAAAATGTTAATCAAAAATAGGGTTTGGTTTATCTATACATTAAGGATTATAACTAATTGCCTCTATGCATCTGGGGATTGACAGTAATTGTTGCCTAAATCGACACTAATCATATTTTTCACTTCGTCACTAACAGTGAGGGAACGTGTGGGGGAAACATCATCATTACAGAAAAAACCATCCCACACACTGGGAAACTGAAGCCAAACAAAGAGGCAGAAACTCCAACACATGGGGGAGCATTTTATTAAAACGACAGTGTGTAATATTAGACTGTCAGCCCACCACGGCCTGCACATGCAACATTATGGCTACACAAGGCTGGAGTCACAAGGGAAAGCAAAATATGAACCCAAACAGGAGCTGGTGGACAAACGCCATGCATCCAAACGTGAACGCTGCCAATCACGGCACCCTGTGCGAACTAGTTCACTACGCTGTCTTAGTGAAGAACCTGGATTTCACCTTGAACTCAGCTCCAATGTGACAAGACTGATAAACTAACTCAGCCTTTTTCCATCAACATAAGTAATATACAATACTTTACAAGCATGCATGGAGTCTAACTGTAGCTCATCCCCATTAGCACAGTCACACAGGACCATTATCAGTCAAATATACAAAATAGTGACAGGAACCAAATGCTCATGCCTCGATATCAGCTTGGAAGCCACTTCCGAACATTTGTTTCAGGCATTGAGATGCATTAAAAAAAACCCAGGAATGAGTTCCAGGTGACCAACGGGGAGGGAAGGCTCCTTCACAGTTACTGCTGCATTAACAACACACTATGCTTATTTCAGAACAGCTACAGATCAAGTGTCAAAGGACAAAGCTGGTCAAAGTCTGCAAAAAAAACAATCTGTGGACAATGTGGGGAGGGTCTTTAACATGCATATGCATCACAAGTCTGTCTGCATTCCCTTACAGGCTCCTGTGACTGTATCTCACAGGCTCTGCTTGACGGGGATAGTGATGACACTTCCTGTATGCACAGCGGAGCTACCTGGCCGGGTACGGCCTCCCATTGTCCCGTGCATTAACAGCACGCCTCGTGAGATTAAAGTGTCATTACGGGCTGCCCATTACTGCCCATCTGTGGCCACTGGCGACAGCAGAGGCCTGTTTATATGCAGAACACAGGGACAGATCAATAAATTAGTCCTGTACCGCTGATGAGAAACCTCCCCCACTTCCTGATAGTATCGGCCTTGAAGGCCTTTACAAGCCAGAAACATGTGGCCTTTAAATGTCACTGTGCCGAGACTTTAGACAATTAGTCAGGTAATTGTTTTCGTTTGTAGTTTTCCAATAGCAGCAGGGGTATGGACTATAACTTCTGCTACCACAGTCATTCACACGGTCTCAGCTGTCAACGAATCAAACATCTCTGATTCACACTGCTCCTCCTTCTGATTTCAGTACTGAATAAATGAAGAGCCACACACTAAAAAGTGTAATTGCTGATCACTCTCTGGGTTCAAAACACTAACAGCATAATGGACGCTCAAACATCCAAAAGGTCAGCGGAGTTGCTAATGTAATGAAACAGCTTTTGATTGGTATCTTTATGTCAGGAAAGCCAGACTGACTTTGGTCACTTTAATAAATGATCAGTGCCAGAGCTGCATACAAAGCAGCAGCTGATAGTAACAGTTAACTAGGAGGCTGGAGAAAGTGACATTTTCACAGAGATGAAACAGAAGCATAGCTGATCAGAGCAGAAGAAGAGAGGCCTGGCTCAGAAGATGAGGGCTGCCATTTCAAAAAGACAGGGTTTAACACGGGGCAGCTTAAGGAAATGCAGTGACCTTCTCTTTGCAGCTGCTGCAATTTTCTCAACACCTTTAATAACCATAAATTTTTGGGTTAATGTATTTAATAACTGCTGAGGATTCCCACAAAAGACTGCCTTCATCACCGCCAGATGGATCTCAACGTAGACACTAGACATAGCTAAAGGGATGTGTAACAAGCCAGTCAGAGGGGAGCACTCGTTCCTGATGCATTACACACACATTGGCGCCTGCAGCATGTGGGGTCATGTGTCTTTCTCTGACAGGCCAAGGTGGACAGCCGGAGAGGGAGTGTGTGTGAGTGTGTGTGTGTGTGTGGGGGGGCTTTCAGGGGACCATTTAGTTTTGCTCATTAAACTCCCAAAGAACCTCACCTGCACACCAAACACTGCAGCCAGGGCCCCACACAGGGCAGAGGCTGCTGAGTGATCCACACTCACTACTGAGCCTTGTGCACATGCAAACTTGGCAAATGAACAAGTGAGTGTTCAATCCAAGTTTCCTGACAAATTGGAGGCCACATTTGAAGAGCCCATGCTAGCTGCTGCAGCAAAAACACCACCAACAACAACAACAGGCTTCATGTGATTGGCATTAATTGTGCGAAGGAAAAAAAAAAAAAAAAATTCAGACTCGTCTTTCTATGAAGGGGCGTGGCACGCAGCCATCGTCACAAGTTTTAGCCTGCAACATAACCTGCAGCTGAGCAGCCATACATCATCATACATGTCGCGCTCCCTTCGTATGTCTCACGCAGGTTGGCCGGGCAGCACATGCACAGCCGTGGGCGAAGCTAGAGATCCACCCATGGCTGACAACATGCGTCCCCTGCAACCTACCCGATGTTTATGGCATAGTGACGCTATAGTGTGTGGATTTGCACCGGCTCTTTAACATGACAGCCATATTTTACAAAGGTGGTCGCCGTTTAATGTGCGCGTTTCAGTCATGGCAGCACGTAAAATCAAAAGAAAGTTGGAAACAATTGACTGTGGCGGCAACATGGCGGAGGCTGGACAGAGCACTGTACTTCACGTTACCAGCACCTCCGTGAACTCTCCGTGCCTGTCTGACTCTGCTCTCCCACCACTAATACCAAGTAGCCTCCGCTGCCCACATGCCGAGTCCCGTGGTTTCAGAACCAAGAGCGTCACAAAAGCAGCCCTGACCAGGCGGCCCCCTGCAGCAGCCCCGGGGTCCGTGAAGTCCCCGGCACCAAACCGACTCCACCGGAGAAGTGGGTCAGTTAAAGGCTCCACAAGTTTCCTTCATTTAAATGAGCGCACAGCCTCAAGGATACAACTTAACGCGGCGATGCGTTCACGGGGGCGAGCGGAGAGGCTCCCGTGCAGCAGGCTGGGACCCGCGCCGGGCTCTCACACAGTTCTACTAGAAAGCTGAGCCGGAGAGAAGGGCAGATAGATCTGCTGCAA